GGGGAACCTGCACAGGAAGCTTAACCGCGCCCACTTCCAGCAGAAGGGCAGGAGCAAACAAGCACTCATTAAGGTTTTTCCCCAGGGAAAACCTGGATCACCATCAATGCCTCGCACCACTCAAATGTGCTGGGATGACAGATAACACTACAAGCATCCAACGACGACGGCAATGGGCAGTCCGCAAGCCAGGACAACACTGGATCAAAGCGATCCATTATAGAAGCATAGTCCGGGTCGCGCAGGAGGTAAGCTGCAATAGCCGCCTGCACCTTAGTAGGCGAGACGCGGGAAGCCGAAAACCTCTGGAAGGACAAAACCCAAGAACCTGCAGGGACACGGAACCCAACCCGGGGAGGAGCTGAACCCAAATCCAACTCGTACGCAGAGGGGAGGAAAAGAAAAACCCCACTCCTTGTAACAGAAAGCCCTGCTCTGAAGGTTTGAAAACCCAGGCAGGGGTCCAATGGGGCCCACGGCCCCCAAGTCGGCTCCTTCTCAACCCCGGGAATCTCCACGTCAGGGCCCAGGGATGAGCTTTCCTCCAAAGCCCCGGCCTCACAAGAAAAAAAACGGGGCAGCTGTAAAAGTGGGAAGATAAGAGACCCACTGGTCAGACCCCAACGCTACGGCTGGAGGAAGACACTCGAATGCCTCCGTCACCTCCCCAGAAGGGGCAACCCTTGAAACTGCCCAAGTTTCAGAAACCTCTAAACCCTGCCCCGACTCCGAAGCCCTCAGATGCTTCGGAGTCGCAAGCAATTCAGAAGAACCACAGCAGTTGAAGAACGTAGGGGCGCGGACTGAACCAAGGCTGGAGCGACCAGCCCCAAGTCCGGGCCCCCTATAAGCAAAGCAGGGCAGCCTCGGGACATCCGGGAAAGCAACCAACCGAGAACGTTGCAGCAACCTATACCTAGCATGCAACGCCTGAGCCGCCTGCACCCGAAGAACATCACTAGTAGATTGGCTGAATTGAGTCACATACAAGCAACAATACTCGCAGGACTCCGGGTCGAAAGTGTAACCGACCCAACAGGCAGCATGACGGAGCATTGCCCTGAGACAAGGTGACAGAGCAACCCTCAAACTCGCACAAGGCGAGAGGAGACCCAGGGTCACATCCACTGGACCCTGTGCGCCCCCGCGGGGATTCCCAGGGCCCCTAGACTGGTACCGCTAAAGGTAAGCCCAGGCGGGGTACTGCTAACCGGTGCCCAAGTCTACCAAACAAACAGCTAGAGCTGAACCTCCGGGACGTATCCACTCATGGGAGCGATGCAGGGGGTACCACCGAACACAGGTCAAAACTCCATAACAGGGGCAAGGGATACAAAGGCAGCCCAGACCCCCCCCAACCAGGCAAAACTAAAACAAAAAGAAAAACCCTGCAAGAGGATAATGTACGCAGGAGGAACAGAGCCGGCCGCTGTAATAGGTGAAAACTAGCTGCACAGTACCCCGTACCCCTACTAGGGTAAAAACTACCACCATGGTAAACAAGGGAGGGAAAACCCCGAACACATGGGGGCGGTCAACCACAAAGGTAGACCCCAAGGTGACTCGTGGAAGAGAACCCCAAGCACCAAGGGCAGTGCTTACAGGGCGCTCAGGGAAGGGAACTCAGGGCAAGGCACAGCACAACAAGATAATCTGGAGCTGGAGCCACCCAACTGAGCCACAATCACATAAGCCAAGAACTGATAGTTGGATTGCCAGCGTGGTTCAAAGGATACCTGATATACCAGGCTGTGACTCATACGTCAGACTGCGAGCAGCCGCGTTCAACAGCCTGGTTGATCAGTCGGGCAACCAGGAGGCCTGGTCGACGACCGGGCCGCGGGGACGCTAAGCCCCGGAAGCACCTCAAGGTAAGGTAGGTAAGGTGGTGGGTCTGGAGCTTCCCCTGTCCCCTCCTGGGGAGAGGGGAGGCTGCGCAGACACGCGGCGCATCTCGTGTAACATCATGCTAATTTTCATTTGGGGGAGTTCTGTCCACTTGTTTGTCCATTTTTGTCGTTTTAACCAGAATAGGGGTTTGTTTTCAGGCACTTACCTTTCTGGGGTGTCTGGCCCAGTCAAAGGCAGACATAGAATGCTCCAAATCACATGTGCATTTCTATAGGCCATTGATCCTTGTGCCTCTCTGAGGGGGGCCAGGTTCTGGCTCGTGGTCCCCAATTGGCCTAGAACTCCATTTACACTGACTGATGCCAAAGTCTAATGATATACATATCAGCCTGGATAACTCCAGGGAACCGAAGGGGTTCCCCCCAGAAAACCAGTGTTGAGTGTAATGAAACATCATTTTCTGGGAGAGTCCTGGAGGCTCCCAGGAACTATAACGGGCTGATATGAATGCATTAGACCATGATACCTGCTTGATGGGGTTCTGGTAGTTCTTCTACTCCCCAAGCCCAGCCCAAGGTCAGGCTTGACTTGTGAGTTTGGTCTACTAGGCTGTTGCTTGGAGCGGCCCGCAGGCCCACATACCCACCACAGCCCAGTTGGTCGGCATCAGTCAATTTGATAGAATTCTTCCCTACCGGGGACCTCGAACCAGAACCTAACCCTGTCAGATAGGCTTGAGGAACAATGGCTTAAAGAATCCCCCATGTGGCTGGGAGCATTCCATGTCTGCCATCGACAGGGTTAGGCACCCAGAAAGGTAGGCGTCGCAAAACAAACTCCTAATGGTTAGAAAATTGCTACCTAAAGCGAAACTGGCACGAAGAACTTCCCCAATCTAAAACAAGCAAACAAGCATGACGTCACAACCGCTTCCGCACTGCTGTCGACCGAGCGGACAGCACGCTGGACTTGTGATCCTGTGGTCCCGGGTTCGATCCCAGGCGCCGGCGAGAAACAATGGGCCCGACTAGGGCCCGGAACATTAACAAGGTAATGGGCAGCCAGGACCTTGTTCGACCTCCAAAATCCTTGTGCCTGAATGTCAGCCCAGGACATATTACCAAAAACGACAGCTAAAGCAGCAAATTTGCAAACATCTTGGGCATGAGGATAGACTGCAGGCTGGTTAGACCAAATAACCATGCAGATGACCTGGGAGACCCGAGCCCTGGAACAGAGAAGGGAAACCAGATCAACTCGTCCACTGAGACCGTTGTGTACAAATAACGGCAAAGACCCGCAACTGGACACAACACATGATGCACCACACAGCTGAACCAACCAAGCATCAACCACCCAAGGACCCATTCGAAAAGCCGCCCTTTTGTTCTTCACCAGAAAAGAAGAAGACGGCTACAAAAGAACAAACCAACCACCAGGACAGAAGGAGCAGAAACCCCTGCACCGAAGTAAAGCATGAAGCTACCCGACCAGACCCCCTGAGGCCAATGCCAACAAGAAAAGAACCTTGTCTAAACAATCCCAACCTGAAGGGGGCCACCACAAACCGAGGGCAGAGAAAAGAGAGCACCCGGTCCAACAACCAGGGCGGCTCAGGCGGCACATGAGCCGGCCAGAGGTAAAACAACACATGAGATAGCTTGCAAAACGGAACAGAAGTGACATCAAACCCCAAACGCAATCAAAAGCAGCTCCGTCAGCACCGCACGATACGAGGCAATGGTATTCAGTATAAGATGATGTCCTGAAACAGCCAAGCGAGAAAGGAAAAAAACAACCCAATCCAAAACTGAAGACAAGCTACAAAGACAAAAAGTGATGAAAGGACCACTAGGGGACTTCATACTGTCCCCGAGACGAAACACGCAGGTGGGATACCATCAACATAACCACCTGATCACCATACAAGTGGTGATAAACCCCGCATCAGAAAGACCAGACACGAAGATGGGCCTTTCAGCCAATCTGCTGAAAGAGGCAGAACAGCTGGAAAACCCCTAGGGTTTGGACACCGAGCAAGCAGCGCCTGAAACTAAGGCAGGGCCGGCCACCAAGGGGCTAACAGGACTACCCTGGTAAGGCTCCAAGCAACCCAGGACCTGGAGCAACAGCAGAACCAGGGGAAAAAAGGACAGGTAACACCACCTCAACCAGTCCTGCTAAAAGGAATCTACCCCAATGGTCTCGCAGTCTGTGAAGGGCGCCACATATACCGGGAGATGCCTCGACCATGCTGACACGAAGAGGTCCACCCCCAGGCGCCTGTACGTCCGGAAGAGCTAACTGAACGAGACAGCGTCTACCGTCCATTCCATGGACAGGGGAATGAACCAAGAGGCCATCCGCCAGGATGTTGAACACACCCCTGGATATAAACTGCCAGGAGAGTCAAATACTGAAAACTCAGCAGACGAGTCACTCCGAAGCAAACACCCCCAAAGATGCAAGGATTGTAGCGAACCCCTTTGGTTCAGGTAATGAACCTGAGTAGTCCGCATGCTCACCTGAGACATAGGTAACATCCAAAAGGAGCAGCAAAAGACACAGGGGTTCTGATGAAACAAATCCAGAATGAACCTCAGATTTGTTTCGGGACTGGAAACAGGCGGGAAATCCACCCGAGGGATGAAGACGTTCCGACCAAGCCCAAGTGCACCCACTCCAAGATGACCTGACAGAGCGCAGGGAAAGAGGCCTGCCCCGCAAACTCTGAACCCTCCGAAGGAGGAGGGCCACGTCCCAAATTTGCACAGAAAAATAACAACATACTGGAGTGAACAATATGAGTGAACTCCCCAAAGGCACCATTAGAGAGCACTGTGTGTACATCTGAGGTCCACAGTTGTTGAATATCCTCCCAGCAGGTATAAGAAATATTGCTCGAACAAAAGTGGATGTCTTCAAGAAAAAAATGGACAGTTTTCTGCAAGACATGCCAGACCAACTGGGATGTAGTGGATATGTGGGCCTGTGAGATGCTCCAAGCAGCAGCCTGTTGGACCAAGATCACAAGTCTAACTCAGCGCCAGGCTGGGCTTGGAGAGTAGAACTCCCAGCATCTCATCCAGGTACAACACAGGTACATTAACAGCACACATTTGGCATCAGGAAAAATTCACAAGACTAACCTGTTCCAGATACTTGTCACAATTGATGTATTCTCTCTCATGACTGTCTTGCAACTTGTGAGTTTTAATATACTGCCAGAGTGCTGTAATGATAACAGGGCGTGTCTGTGTGTGCACTCCCAAAAGGCGGGCTAGACGTGGATCCAACTTGAACTGATGTGGCTGATAATCCAGCAAAAGCAGGATGGTGCACCGGACATTTTTATCTCCAGGTCGCTTTACCTGTTGGGGAAAGATTGTTGAAAATATATGATATATGAATAACACAGCATTAAGCAAAATTGATATATATGATCAATGTTTACAGAAAATGTTCTCACTATGTTCCAATTACCAAACTTAACTGCAATATTACTAAATTATATGGAAAAAGAGGAGTAATATTTTACTCTAGTATTCTTTAAGGACCCATCTTCCTTCAGGAGGGTCCCTTATCCCCCACTCTTGACAGTTAGTTTTTTTGTCTTCCTTCAGGGGAAGGGGGGGGGGGAGGCCCTTATCCCCACTTTTGTTTGTTTGTTTGTTTGTTTTCTAAAAATCACCACCCTCCTCATCACTTCCAGCTTGCCCATGCCTCCCTGAAGGCTAACAACTCTATTGTTATCTTTCCTTCCAACAAAGGCAATTCAGTGGTTGTCCTGGACCATGTGGACTACCACCAGCCGACTGAGGTTTTGCTCTCTGACTCCTGCACATATGCTCATCTGATTTCTAACCCTTTGGATCGCCTTAGAACTAACTTCAACCACAAACTAAGACAGCTCTCTTAGTCTTTGTCCTCCTGACTTCGCTCTAATAATGTTTCTGTGTCATTTGCCCTTCTCCTCTTTATTTCTATGGTCTATTTAAGATTCAAAAACCTGGCGCTCCTCTTTGTCCTATCATTTCTTCAGGAGGCTCTGTCGGCTATCTCTTGCCTCCTGGCTTGCCAAAATTCTGACTCCTTATCTTGGTACTGTTTCTCCTGCTCACCTTCGTCACACTCAGGACTTCATAGGAAGACTGTGCCTCCAGCCTTCCTGTA